ACATGGTGCCCATAAAGGGATGGACATGGTCAGAAACAATGCTCAGGTAGGACGTGGCATTGAAACGATGCCCATTTGGCACTAAGGGGCCTAAAGTCAAGAAAACATCCCCCACACCATTACACCATCACCACCAGCCTGCACAGTGATAACATAACAATGATGCATCCATGTTCTCATTCTGTCTATGCCAAATTCTGACTCTACCATCTGAATGTCTGAACAGAAATTGAAACTCATCAGACCAGGCAACATTTTTCCAGTCTTCAACTGTCCAATTTTGGTGAGCTCTTGCAAATATTAGCCTCTTTTTTTCATTTGTAGTGGAGATGAGTGGTAGGTCTTCTGCTGTTGTAGCCCATCCGCCTCAAGGTTGTGCGTGTTGTGGTTTCTCAAATGCTTTGCTGCATACCTCGGTTGTAACAAGTGGTTACTTCAGTCAAAGTTGCTCTTCTATCAGCTTGAATCAGTCGGCCTATTCTCTGACCTCTAGAATAAACAAGGCATTTTTGCCCACAGGATACTGGATGTTTTTCCCTTTTCACACCATTCTTTGTAAACCCTAGAAATGGTTGTGCGTGAAAATCCCAGTAACTGTGTAGATTGTGAAATACTCAGGCCGGGCCGTCTGGCACCAACAACCATGCCATGCTCAAAATTGCTTAAATCACATTTCTTTCCCAATCTGACATTCAGTTTGGAGTTCAGGAGATTGTCGTTCAATGAAAAATTGAACAGGTGTTCCTATTAATCCTTTAGGTGAGTGTATATGTCAAATCAAAAATACATAAAGTTGCTAGTAAACATCAAAAAGGCATACCATGTTCAAAACCTCTCCTATAGGAGAGGTATATATAGACCATTTCACAAGATGTAAACAACACTGGTCCCGTTTCAGTTTGTAACAGTTTTCTTTATTTCACATGCAAAGAAAACATCTTGAAGGTGTTTGTTTAACTTTTTGATTCAGTTTTAAATGTTCTGTTGGTTGTATTTTATCCCAGCTTTTATGTAGTGTTAAAAACTGAAACAGGAAGTGCTTCTGGACCAGTGTTTACATCTTCTGAAATGGTCTATAGAACCCTATATATACATCATATATAGAACCCTATATATGTAGCATAAACCTCTCCTATGCTACATATATAGGGTTCTATATATGTAGCATAGGGTTCTTTACTCAACTGCAAAGGACCTTTTATGCAAAAAAATGATGATAATGACAAGAAAAGAACCCTTTTGGCACAAAGGTTCTTTATAGGCTATTATTCATTCATATATTACATTATTCTGCAACATTTTATAGTTGTAATTAAATTATTGTTTATTAAACTGTTGTGGTAACTTATTCTCACATTTTAATCATGCTGATTTTTGGAGGAGAAAAACTGAAATGGCACTCCTCGTGTGATATTGATTAATTACATTTTTTAACCCCCATATCTTGAATTTTGTGATCATTCACATGCATTGCATTTTAGGGGTTCCAAATACGTAGCGCTTTAGAACCTTTTAAGGTTCTATATAGAACCTTTTCTTCTAAGAGTGTTGGGAAGCAGAATTTAAACAGTCTCTCAGTAGATGTACTGGAAGGGAAAGATTTTAAAGTAAATCCTTATTAGAATATTATTAGAATACATATTAATTTTTTATTTTATTTTATTTTTAATTTTTTTTGTTGCCTGTTTTTTTGCCTTACTCCAATTAACCCGTTTAATCCCACATTTTTTTTTTTCTTACAATTTGAGTACATACATTTTACTTAGACCTCTCTAACATTTAACATTTTACAAGTGAGTGAAATATTAGGTATACTCGGTCACAAAAATGACCGGTGGGAGTCAGAATTCGTAAAAAATTCTTCAATTAGACCAATTTACACAACACATTCCAAGACATCCAATACCTCGTTTTGTCATGTCGTGAAAGAGGCTTAGTGGGGTGAAAAGGTTGTCATGTACAAAGTTACACCCTGGGGGTCATGTACAGTATGCCTAATTTATAAACACAACACTTTTTGTTTTTGCCCACATTTTTTATAGCCTGGCTGCGCCCTCCTACGCACTTCCGCTCAATTTCATTTTAAATGAAATGAACTAGAGCCTGGTTGAACCAGGCTACATTTTTTATGCACTGACCTCAAATATCTAAGACTTTTTCAATGTACACAAAAGGCCTATTTCTCTCAAGTACTGTTCACAAATTTGTCTAAATCTGTGTAAATTTGTCTAAATCTGTGTAAGTGAGCACTTCTCCTTTGCCGAGATAATCCGTCCACGTCACAGGTGTGGCATACCTTCAGTGTAGGATTAACAGCCAAAACCTATAAAAGGCAGGAGGTGTAGCAGCGTGACCTAACACAAATAACTGTTCACTGAAGCGTGAGCAAGGAGGAATTTAAATACACAGTGCCCAGACAGAACATAGTGTCGACCCAGATTTGGCCAACATTTGGGCCGTGTGGAATCCACGTGTACCAGATGTGGGCCGGATCTAGGTCAACACTACACTCTAAAAAATGCTGGGTTGTTTTAACCCAATTTTGGGTCAAATATGGACAAACCCGAAATGTTGGGTTAAAAATGTAATGTAAAAGTTTAACCCAACGGCTGGGTTAGTCCATATTTGACCCAAAGTTGGGTTAAAACAACCCAGCATTTTTTAGAGTGTATGCAGCTGTCTGGGATGAATTAAACCACTTTGTTTTCCAAATCCAAATGCCGACTTCTCGTGAAGAGGTCGAACAATTTGTTATGGTGGAGGTGTTGTATTGTACATCCGAGACAATGTTCCATCATATTCTTTAACCTGTTCCAGACCATCTAGAATGTCTGTGGGTGAAGGTGAGATCTTTGAGACTTCCACTGCATATACTGTATGTGCTGTTACTGTGTGTGTGTGGTGTATTCACCGCCACAGTTACCACATCAGTCTGAAATCATTGAACGTCTATAATTCCCTCATTTGACTTCTTTCGTACTATGTACCCAGACATTGGACTTGTTGTCCTTGGAGAAGTCAACCATCTCAGAGTCCATGATATCTGGCGAGATAGTAAACTCTGTCATCCGTGACAGGAAGTAAATAAGGCAACCTGTACCAATGAAAACAAAACAACAATGCCTTTTATAATACTATACTGAAATTGATAGTTCTCTATGAAAAAAAAAAAAAATCCTCGATCTTTTTGCTCCACGTCGTCAAGAGATTTGGTCTTCAAGTCTCTGAATGAGAGGCTGCTCAAAGCAGAGCCAATGGGTGGAGCTTGACAGCCAGCTCCGCCTCTTATGATGTAATGAGTGGTGTTTAAAGGTCTAGCCACACCCTAATTAACCTTTGAAGATACAACTGTCCCCATTTTCCTTACAAGTAGATATCTAACTAATGATGGGTTGTATTAGATCAGGGATGGGCAACTTTGGTCCTGGAGGGCCACTGCCCTACACAGAGTTTAGCTTCAACCAAAAGCTAATCAAGGCCTTCAGGATTAATAGAAAGTTACAGACAGGGAAAAAGTTTTTTTTCAGGGTTGGAGCTAAACTCCGAGGACCGAAGTTGCCCATCCCTGTATTAGATGAATCTCAACAGATTTTTTTTTTAATGCTAGAGATGTATGTGTTCATGAAGGTTCACATCAGCTCAGGAGTTTCTAAATCTCTCATAGAAACTGTTTGTAATTTCCAATGTAAATGTCATAGCCGTTGTGTTTGAGAAATAATCGTGTGCACACTTTTACCTGTATTGTCCTTAACTCTTGAGAGCAAACTTTCCAGACTTGCACAGAGCAAAAACACTAAGTTCAGGTTTCATTATGGTAGTGGGGATAGTCCCTCAGAAGGTTTCAGTGAGTTATTACGAATGTACTGGGAAGGAGTGATGTCTGTCACATGATGTTTTGACTGGCTAGTAATGGCCTAATCACTTGAACTGGTCAGATATGAGAATGCTGGATTTATTTTCATTAGAAGGGTCTCACTGGGGATATTAGACTGAATCATAATGATCTTTGTGTTGACAATCTGTGTAGTCTATATGTTAAATCTGCTCATAGCATCACATGCACAGTTTGAATCATGTGTTTGTGGAGGAGTAGTGGCTGGGGTCTGTGGTTAAGCCTATGACCCAGTTTCATACGACTCATGCAGCTCTGGACGTCTTTTACTATAGAAGACACAATTTATATGTTTTGTGAATAGTGCAAGTACATCAAGTGCAGTTATTTTGCTTCACAAAGTTGCCCATTGCATCACTATCACTCATAACATTATTTTTAATAACTCATCACAAAGCTTGCGTTCTTTATTGTGACTAATTGGTAGTCCACGTTGTACAGATTTCGCTTTGAACATAAATGTCTGAATGTCCCATGTCTAAATTGTTTTCACATTTACTCTAGCAAATACATTACAGAAGAGATTATTTTACTATTCTTTCTTGTGATCATTAATAGATGGATTAAACATTTAGAACTGGTTAATTTTATGAGTTGCTTAATTTTAGATGTTGTATAAACGACATTTATTCAAAAAGTAAAATATTTTCAAATTCCTCATAACTTCCATTTAAGTTCAACAGAATCCAGTTCTATGCCGCAGTCTAGTGATTGTTTGATATTCATATTTTGAACAAATGCTTAAGTTACAGGTATTTGTTGTCCCCTCACAGACATAATACATATTATGGCAAAAAAAAAAAAAAAAAAAAAAAAAACATTTTTTAATACTAATTACAGGAACTCACTGCATAAGGTTTAATTTGTTATCATTAGTTAACAAACATTACAAATACTTAAAAATCATTTATTTATTAACTAACAAAGATGAATGAATAATGTAACAAATGCATTGCTTGTTGTTAATATTATGTAATGCATTATTGACATTATGGGACCGTATTGTAAAGAGTATTGTAAACAGACCCTGTTGCTTGTTGCTCACCAGTGTAAAATGATCACTCTGCAATGACACACACTTACTGTACATACATCTTTATTGAAGGTATTTATTGTTTCAAAATATAGTTAATCTAATTACAATATTAGTAAACAACTGTAACAGTCAAATACATGTATACATATTTACTTGTAAAATGTAAAAGTTGCATGAAAACCACTAAAAATAAGAATAAAAACAAGATAAAAAAAATATGAAAACATTTACAAAATATGCACAAATAACATTATGAGCCTTGTGTATGACATTGTATGTAAAGATTGGGAAAAGTGTCCCAATCAACATGAATTCACCAATGAGACTGAACTCTTGCAATGTGTGGTCAATCAATCACATCAAGCCTGAGTGTTATGTTTCTGGCCGGTTTGAGTAATGAAACCTTGATTTGCATCTCATGGAACTGCACACTCTAAAAAATGCTGGGTTGTTTTAACCCAACTTTGGGTCAAAAATGGACAAACCCAGCCATTGGGTTAATTTTTTTAATGACATTTTTAACCCAACGTTTGAGATTGTCCATATTTGGGTTAAAACAACTCAGCATTTTATAGAGTGATCCTTTTAATGTGAGCTGGCTTCTATATTCTGTTCAATTTTGGAAATAACAACAAACAAAGCTGAATTGTATCTGTCAGTAGATGTACTGGAATCATGTGCATGGAAACATGTTTCTCATCCCAGTAAATCCTTATTAGATATTTGGTTTTATTTGGCCTATACACCAATTGTTTTCGCTCACACCGCAGTGGATCTCTCATCCACACTAGTGGTCTGTGAATAAACAGATCCTGTGGCCTGCATAATATAACTCTTCATGAATTGCAATCTATTGAAGGGTGTCTTGTACAGGAGTCTTAAAAGATGCCTCCTAAATTTCTCTCCCACAAACACATAAAGCATTGGATTGATGCAGCTGTGTGAGTAAGCCAAAACTTCTGTGATCTGAAGACTTAGACGGATGGCCTTGCTTTTGGGACAAGAAAGAAGGATCAATTCTTTTAGCTCTAAAGCTTTCACAAAAGCTGCAATATTGTATGGCGCCCAACAGCAGAAGAAGACCACCATCACCACAATGACTAGACGCATGGCCTGCCTCCTGGACGAGCGAATTGTCAGAAGTCTCTTCAAAATCAGTGAGTAACAAAATCCAATCACAATAAGTGGGAGAATTAAACCCATGACATTCATTTTAAAGATACCAATAATCCTGTATGAACGATTGGAAATGTTCTCAGTGGTTGGATACGATGTACAATAAGTATGATTATTATTGTTTGTGGTTTTGAGGAACTTCAACTCAGGAAAGGATGCACAAACAGCAACAATCCATATGACCACACTGGCTAAGATCCCATATGTCCTTGTTCGGACTCTCAAGGCAAACACAGCATGAACTACAGCTAAGTATCGATCAACACTCATAAGTACAATGAAGAATATCCCACTGTAGAATCCAATGTGGTAGACACTGAGGACCATAATGCACATACCATCTCCAAAGATCCACTGGTCTCTGGCAGAGTGTGCCAGGAAGGGAAGAGAGGAGACCAGCAGCAGGTCGGCTATAGCCAGGTTCAGGAGACAGATGTCGGTCATGCTTCTCAGCTTCACGCCCATCAAGACCACCCAGACTACCAGTATGTTACCCAGAAATCCCACCACAAAAAACAGAAAGTATAACACAGGGAGGAAGGTACTTGCATGATCTCCATAAACACAGGAATATGCAGATGGATCAATCCCAAAACTGTAGTAATCAGAATAGTCAGATGTTGTGGCAGCATATGGCTCTTCAGTCTTTTGTCCATCCAAACTTGAACAGGGGAAAAAAAATACTATAAGCAAAGCAGAGATCCTCCTTTAATTGTGACTAATAAATGTGATATGACCTCACCTGGAAAATGCATGATAATTTAGATCAAGGGTGCTGTTGGTGACCATTCCTGTCCATGGATGCTGTTCACTGGTCCTGTTCATGACAAAGAGAAGAGGCAAATTAGACTTGTTCAGTTCAGTGTTGATTCGGTGATAGTATGTTCATTGAAGATCCATTTGCACTGACTGAACAAGTCTCTTCAGACACTGTATGAAGAATATATTGAATACACTATTATCTATTATCTACATGAAGAATATACTGAATACACTATTAACTATTATCTTCTATACAGTTTGCTTAAATACAACTCAGGCGCAAAATGAACCTTTGGTCTAAGAACACGTGTGCCTACCGTTCTCCGAGATTTGTTTTCATGATAATCAAATGTTTTTTCTCTAAAAATTGCTTAGCGTATAACGCTAGGGCATAGGGTAACGAAAAATAAAAATCTCTAGTTATTAACAAGGCTCAAAATAGCCCCACACTAACACAGTAACATAATGAGGGTCCCTCATTATGTACATGCAAAACGAAGCATTGAGAACTTTGTAAGTGTACAAGAAGTGGTCTGTCTTTATAAAATATCTTCTTAAAGAACGGTCTGTTCACTTACAAAGTTCTCAATGCTTCGGTTTGCATGTACTGTAGGAACCCTCATTATGTTACTGTGTTAGTGTGGGGCTATTTTGAGCCTTGTTAGTGGTATTAACTAGCGATTTTTACTTTTCATTAGTCTATGCCGTGTATATAGTGTTAAATGCTAGACAGTTTTTAGAGATTAAACTCTTTACATTCGATTATCATGAAAACAAATCTCAGAGAACGGTTGACTAGGTACCAATGTGTTATTAGTCCAAAGATTCATTTGCGCCGGAGTTGTCCTTTAATGAACTTTGCATTATTCACACTATTACTTAACTAAATGTGAACTAAACTGAGCTAAATATTGACACTTTTCTCTTTTTAGAGCAGCTTTACAGATGAAATGGGGTGGTGATGGCGCAGTGGATAAGACACATGCTTTTAGTGTGAGATACTCGGGTTCGAGTCCACTGTGAGACACCAATGTGTCCCTGAGCAAGACACTTAACCCCTAGTTGCTCCAGAGGCGTGCGACCTCTGTCACATATAGCAATTGTAAGTCGCTTTGGATATAGCGTCAGCTAAATGAATAAATATAAATGTAAATGTAATGAAATGTTATGAAATGTAATTTCAATGTAATGTAATGAAATTGCAACATTAATACTGTTTTATTATTATTATTATTATTACTACTGTGAATCTGCTTTGAAACAATCTCTTTTTTTGTATAAAGTCCTATATAAATAAATGTGATTTGACTTGGACAACACTCAATCAGGTATGACGCATTTGCTCTCAGTAGCCCCTTTTCCACCAAAGCATTTTGAGAGCCGGTTCAGAGCCGGTGCCTGCGCGCGAACCAATTCTTTGTGTTTCGACAGCCAAAGAACCGGTTCTCGGCCGGGAGAACTGGTTCCAAAGCGGCACCAACTCTTTGCTGGACTAGAACCGTTCTTTTATCACGTCATGCTTACGTCGGGGGCTGGGGGCGGGTTTAGATGTGTTCTGAACATCTTTTCTGACCATAATAAAGGATCGCAAAGCCAAGAGAAACATTCGCAGAAACACGATGGAGTCCGCCTTTGTAATTGTTATGCTTGAAGTTGGCGCAAGCATTTCTATTTTTGTAATTTTTTTATTGAAGACATTATAAGCAAAAAGAAAACAATATAGAACAAATAAATGGAAAGAAAAAAAGACACAAGACAGGGGTACATAACTTATCAGAAAAGATTACATATCAAACGTTTCTTTTCTGGCATTGCTTGTGGTTCTTGTGTTTTTCTTCTTACAGGTAAGATGGCTTCAATGGACTATGTGCACGTTAGCATATGCTAGTTCCGGCTGCGAAACCGATATGGGGTGTCTAGTTTCCGGTAGCCTGATGGACGACGTAGAGGATATATGTTTCTCCAGATGTCTTGAACATTTGCCGAATATTACAGTCGATTATGTTCATCGACTGGCTAATGATTTTCCTCCAGCTCCCCAGAGCAAGAGAGAAGGGGTTTAAATATTACATTTCTCAGTATTTGCATCATTTTGAAGGGAACGTTAAGTCACAACATCCATGCTCAGACTGATCTCATGAAATTGCGTATGTATGACACGTATCACGTATTTTTGGCATGCTATCAACACGCATAATCTCTTTTCAGCGTGTTTATGAATACCGTTGACTTAACGTTATTATTGTATATATATATATATATATATATATATATAGCATATGACCTACCTCAACCCCAACCTACCCGTCACTCCTACCATCCTAGGAAAAAATAAATATCGCTTCCCAGATGTAGATCTACATTTTGTTTTGTTTCACTCGGACATTTGACGGCGTGTACATACGCGGTACACGTGGAATCACTCGGACATTAATGTTGCCATGCTACGTGCTCAAGCTATGCGATTTGGTAACTGTTCTCTCTATACATTATAAAATGCGAAACCATGCGTTAGAAAGTGCGTTTTCCAGAACAGTTTGTGTTGGCCATTGTTTTGTTTATGATGTTCAGAGGCTATGTTGTTGACAACCACTATCGTCATATAGATCAGTGTTGACAACCACTATACATGTCATACAGGGAGTAAAGGTATCTGACGTTGGTTCGTTCGTTATCAAGTTAGGCTGTTTAACACATATTAGGCTGTTCACACATATTTCTAAACAGGTCTCCCTTTCAAAATAGGTTCTAAACCCAGGGGCTTCTCCTGGTTAAAGGGTATAATATAATAAATAATTAGTAGCCTAAAAACTTCCTTCTAGTTGTCATGGATACGCAACGCTCCACTCTGTGAAGCGACTGCTTGGGTGCGGTGACAAAATGTGAAATATCGTTTACTTTTCACAATGCAGCAGCGCCTGGCTCCACCCAAATATGAGTGAAAACTGTGTTGGTTGACTTGACAATGAACAAACGAACATAGTTTTAGACAAATATATTTAGATAGCCGGTCCACTGATGTAGGATGTAAACAACGGCAACCGGAACCGAAGTACCCAACATCCGCCCTCAAGGCGGAAGTTAGCATTTTTCTCGTGCACATAGTCAATAACCATTCCAGCAGCTGATTGGTGGTTCAACGGCTGATTGGATCTTGGAACTCCTCCTACTCGTCAGTGGCTGCAGCTGGCTGGGCTCTTTAAAAAGCCTAGTTTTGGATCTGTTCACTCTCTGCTCTGGGCTTTGCACTTGGTTCCTGCTGTTAGTGTGGTTGGTAGCCCTTTTTGGGAAACCTTGTGGCTGGTAGATTACTTTATTGTTGTCTATTTGAGATTAGGATTGGAACATTTGACAATGTTTTTGATAATGTTGTAATCTGATTTGTTAGCTAGTAACACTAGCTTTGTGTTCCACTTTTGGAACTTGAACAGCAGGACTGAGTTTGTTGTTTGTGAAATATTATTACAGTTTTTTTTATTCGCTTTGGTACTATTTTATACTGTATACTGTATATTGCTGAAATGAAAATCTATAGGTTTACCAAATTATTAATTGATTAACCATTAAGATCTGTTGGATTAAATAATAGACAAAAGTATTAAACTGAACAAAAAGAGATGCAAATCAAAAGTTTGATAGTAAGAGCTTTATGAAAGGCAGTTACTGTGAATGAAACAATAATGTAGATGAAACACTTATTTTGTGTTGTGAAAAGGACACTTTGTGATTGTGTGAATTGTACTAACACAGTTGAAAACATGATGAAATGTTTGAAAAAAGTGCACTTTTGATGATCTGTTGTGATATTAGCACTAAGAGTTTTGAAAATGTACACCTTACTTGTGAAAATAGTACCAAAGCGAATAAAAAAAACTGTATTATTATTTGTGTTAACTTCTTTTTCTTGTTCTTTATTTTATAGTAATTTTGGTTAGGGCGCCTTGATTGTGTGCCAGATAGGTGATGTGTAGGTTAGTGGTGGGGTATTTTTTTGTTTATTTCTTTTCTTTGGTTCGTCCAGCTCTCCCCTTTTCTCCCTTAAATTTGTTTATCATTTGCATTATTACCGTGACAAAAATAAAAACAGTTTATACGGTATTTGGAATTTGTCTCCTTTTCTTGCACCACGACTCCATTCCTCTTTTGCTGGCATTTGTGGGTCTGAGCAGAGGTTATCAGGATCCCCTCCCTTTTTGGGGGCTGGAACGTAACAAAAAGATTAAAAGACTTACATATTTCAATTGTTTTTAAACCCTTCTTGGTACACGAGTTGGAGATAATCCCAAAGTAATGTTACTTGCAAGCGTTTAGCTAAAACGTATGGCGACGTACACAGTGACGTAACGACGTCGTTCCCTGGGCGCTCTAGTTAGTGGAAAAACAAACAGGTTCTGAAGCGGTTCGCAAGTTGAACCAACTCCGAACCAACTTTGAACCAGCACCAGTTCCGAACCAGTTCTTTTTTTGGTGGAAAAGGGGTAAGTCATGGCTTCTGTCCTGTGCTGCCCCGATAGAATGTCATGGCAATTCGTAACTATTTTACGTTTTTGGTGAATTGGTGGCTAATTCTAATTTTCTAACAATCGTATTATTCGTACAATTGACACACTTGACAACAACAGCAAAAAGTGGCTGAATTGGGACTTTCTGTCTGTAGATGTACTGGAAGGAAAATATTTTTCTCATCCATGTCAATCCTTATTGGATGTCCAACAAAGTTCTATGAAACTTCCGCCACAAATGAAGCCAACACTGGCAGAACCCATTGTCCATGTGATAAATGTCTTAACATGTATCTAATTTTCCAGGGGTTGGTGATGTCGCAGTGGATAAGACACATGCCTTTGGTGTGAGAGACCTAGGTTCAAATCCACTGTGAGATACCAATGTGTCCCTGAGCACGACTCTTAACCCCTAGTTGCTTCAGAGGCGTGCGATATATATAGCAATTGTCGCTTTGGATAAAAGTCGCTTTGGATAAAAGCGTCAGCTATGAGTAAATGTAAATGTAATAATTTTCCTTTTATGTGGTTTGGCCTATGTTTCATTCTCTCTACTAAACTATTTTGGTCTGAAACATGACTGGCATATTATGGGTAACCAAAATCATATGTGTAGCATGTTTAGTCTCTATAAAATCCAATCTTCGTCCCCCATTTGTTAATTTACATTACATTTTGCTAACTTTATGACGCATTAGTATTATGAGAATCTTGAAGATTTTGTTTCGTAAACACCCAATGAAATTGGGGGCATTTAATATTCAACAATATTATTGATCTGTGTTGTATTACTTTCATGTTATCACTGCTGCTTTGATACAATCTCTATTGTAAAAAGCACTATATAAATAATTGTGACTTGACTTGACTTGAAATTAAACATTAAACAGGGGACAAATGCCCTGCTTAGAAGACAATGGATTGTAAAAAATTCTCATTTTGGCTTTGCATTGGCTCAAGCACCTCCAGAAGGTGTGACATTTTCTCGCTTTAAAAATCAGTGATCATCAAGATCAGCTCTCTCTTAAGGTGATGATACACAGGACAACTTTTTGAGCAATGCTGCTGGGAAATGTTGCCATCAACGGGCAACCAGATGAGACACAGGGTCCATGACCGATCTAAATTATGCAGATGGAAATCTATTGCCCATTTTCAATGGGAAAGTGCCCAAGCAACAATCAGTCGCCAAGATTGCCCAGCAACATTGCTCAAATACTGAACATCAAACAATGCTATAACTTCTTGCTTTCCTGTATTCTGCTTCAGCTCTCTTTCCCTTGGTAAACTGTATTGTCCTACTTTAAAAAAAAAAAAAAAAAAAAACAGTCAATATGACGTTTATAGAAAAAGACAATTTACTTTTCAAGATGGTTTCAACTCTATCTTTGAACCAATTCTATAGAATGGCCCATATATATATGTGTGTGTGTGTGTGTGTGTGACCACCATCACCACAATGACTAGACACATTGCCTGCCTATATATGTGTCACACAGACACATACGCACACATATAGGCACACATTTATATTTCATTCAGGTGTGTCACACAAGAAAGAATGCAGGTCATTATCTTCTCACTTGAGAACCACCTAATTGAGAGGGTTGGGCCGTTCACACCCATTCGCATATTGCCTTTCCAAACTAAAAAAAAAAAAATGTTTTTCACAAATTAAACCAATCTGTTGTTTTATCTGAATGATAAAGCAGGATGATTTCATTTCATCAGATCATTTTGAAGCAAAAACATACATACATGTTGCTCACATATTATGGTAGCTCTGTTTGTGCTAAATAGAGTGTAATTTCACCTGTGCCATAATGTGTTTATAAGCAACTGAAAAAAGGACAAACGTTAGGGCATGTCAAAACATCTCAAGGACCCCAAAAACACCGTAGACCCTAGAGGGTTAACCCAATTAACTGATCCAAATATTCATAATGAATTATAACTAGTTATGATTGATTAGTAAAATCTAACATTGTTCTTACTAAGAATTTTTTGTTAACTTTACTTAAAGTGCAATAATTTGTTGAACTTACTTAAAACTTCTTAGTAATCTTTACTGTTTGCATGTGTGCTTTCGTTACTCAGAAAAACCTTGTAAACATTACTTGACTGGTTTGAGTACCATTTTCAATTTGCTTTCGCTCATTTTCCAGTCATCTTGAGTGTTATTGTCAATACACCTAACTATTTTTGGAAGAACATCAAAATTCTTTAGTTGACTTGTTGATTTCCCTTTCTCACCATTATTGTGATTGATGTTCCCTTTGGTTGGGCACTTGGAACTTAATTTATATTATTGTTCTCTTCCAATTGTTTGATGCAACTTGAAATCATAATTATTTGATTTCAAAGGAAATGAAGTAATTTATATATATATATATATATATATAAACACACATACTTAAATTAATTAATAGATTATATATAACATAAATATATTTCATGTATAATAATGATCTTTTAACATTTTATTGCTAACGCTTATGGCATAAATCTTTAATTGGGTTGATATAATCCCTCTATATTTGTGACAATATCTTGCAATTTTGGTTGAGTCACACACAGACTTCAACATTCAGCATGCAAACCACAACAGTGGTTACATTTTAAAAAAATCATTGAATTAATTAGACATTACAATTTTATTTGCTGTCTCTTTTCAGTATAACCCCAATAACGATAGCAAATAAAATTGTAATAAAGCCAAAAATAGTAAAATAAAGCAATTAATTTATTCATGCCGCAATGCACTCTGGGAGTACACTTCCTCGGTTCACAGATACTGGAAAGTAAAAGATCAAGCATAGTATAGAAATTATTTTAAGTTACTGGAACTCTCTTGTAAGTGTACACTACTAGGCATGCACTTGTTAGTACTACATATTATTCCTATTTCACTTTACTCAGTTTTTTGAGTGCAATCGGTTTGCATGCTTTTTTCAAGTAAGGTGTACTAATTGGATTTTACAGTGTATTTCATAGAGCTAGTTTGATATAGACGGATGGCCTTCCTGTTGGCACAGGAATCAGGTATCCATTATTTTAGCTCTAAAGCTTTCACAAAAGCTGCAACACTATATAAAGACCACCATCACCACAATGACTAGACGCATGGCATGCCTCCTGGAAGAGCGAACTGTCAGGAGTTTCTTCAGAATCAGTGAGTAACAAAATCCAATCACATTTTTTTGTGTTTTTGAGGAACATCAACTCAGGAAAGGAAAGAATCCTTCTTGAAATATGACTAATAAATTTGATATGGCCTCACCTGGACAATGCTTGATCATTTAGATCAAGTGTGCTGTTGGTGACCATTCCTGTCCATGGAGGCTGTGCAGAGGTCCTGTTCATGACAAAGAGAAGAGGGAAAGAAACTTATACAGTGCAAATGGATCATACTGTACAATCATCAACTGAATCAACACTGAAACAAAAAAAGCAATCCAAAGCAAAAACAAACAAAAAAAGCATCCAAATTGTATTTAATTTCATTCACACTACTATTTAACTAAATGTGAACCAAACTGAGCTAAATAATGACACTTTTTTTTTTTTTAGAACAGCTGAAATCCATTTCATAACTGTAGAACTTTGCAACATTAATACTGTTGTTTTTTTTATTATTATTGGGAATCTTTGAAACAATTTGATTTGTAAAAGGGGAAATGTGATTTGATTGGACAACACTCATCAGGTATATATGACGCATTTGCTCTGACGCATTATATAACGTCAGGGCAATTCATATCTATTTTAGTGAATTGGTGGCTAATTAGTGAATTCATAAAATCTCATTTACTGTTTACATTTTTGAATGGGCTTCAGTGACGGGTCTGTTAGGTTGGGCCTACTTTTTTCTAACAATCACGTTTCGTACAATTGACACTGTACGAATTCAGCTTTTCGTAAAGAAATCTATTGGTTTAAAAACTGAATAACTTATATATACAAGACTGATTTCAATGTTATTTTTATGTTGTCTTTAAATTTGGAGATGAAGTTTGGTCTTACCTCAGTAAGGCAGCTGTATGATTCATAATCAGAGAACCGGAGGCGTTCTTACTGTATTAGACAAACAGGGAAACAGAAGTTAGCATAGTAATTCTGCAAATAGATCATCTTTAAGGCATTAGTACAAAATTAGCAAACTGATGAAATTGATATATTTACATTGTTTACATGATTTTTTTATTATTATTTTGGACAATCTTGAATGATGATATGAGCCGTTATGTCACAGTAGAATTAAATATAAATAAGCAGTAAGGTACTTTCCTCAATGGGTACACTTAATGAGATTCTGTGTGGTGTGGTAAAATTGGTTGTATAATAAAGCAAACATGAAATAACAAAGAAACATTTTTGCGCTGGTTAATTTCTTTTTAGTTCTTTTTGGTATAAACAGTGGTATAAATGGTATAAAACGTACATAAATTAATATTATCCTTTTTAATAAATGCCATGAAAAAAACGAAATTGTTAGTAATGCTACATTACACTGTTAACAGTAGTATTAGTGTACTACTAATTATGTTCATAATTATCAAAAGAAGAACATGATTAATATTCTGTCATCTTTCTTTGATAAGCACAATATATTAATATAAATCTATTTGTACAGAACATAAATATTTATTGAACTTAAATATACAATACATGGTAATATTTTATTTTACAGCTAAATAATTAAGAATTTATTTGTGTGTGTGTGTGAGTTAAAGCATCTTTACAAATAATATGCCTTAAAACCCGCAGTGAGCAACTAAAGGAGACAAGTGACAGGGGCAAGTTCACCTCTTCAGACAAATATAGACAAAGCACATTGAACATTGAACCAAATGGTAATAATAATAATGGATCATATAGACAAATTTGTTGTTTAATTAATTAAGGATATTTTCTAATTTGTATTTAATAGTTTTTATTTAATATATACATATTAATTTTAAAACTATTTTAATAAAAAAAAATGTATCCAACCACTTGAAATAATAAAGTATGAATGATTTATTATCGTAACGGAAGATTTCACATACCTACGAGCATTATGAGCATCGGTCTGAAGTGCAAACCACCTGTGACATTCAGGCTTATTCTGTGACTCTTTTTTTTTTCCAAAAGCTGGTTTACCAAACATAACGTGTGAAACCATAACCCCTTCCATTTCAAAAACTGATACAACAGGTGTTTGCAATGAAAGTGGGGGAAAAGGCTCTCTAGGCATATTCAATAAATAAACATGCAGCTTACGTTTGTGCATACTATTTAAAAAAAGAGGTCAAATAAAAAATGTGCTGCCAGGAATACTCACAAATGTGATAATTGGTGTTGCCCTCTGACCTTCCGAGCAAAGAAGGGAAGTTGAGATGAGCGATAAGATCGTATCATATGAGATCGATCAAAATAACATGATCTGTTATATATTTTTTTTTTCTCAGGGTATTGGTTTGTAACACTTCCTCTGTAGAGGTAAACTGGGGTATAGGGGCTTTGCAGAATGCAGGACTAGTTTCATATTGACTGCAATGGCAATGACCCGATTGGCTCCTGTCATGTTTTGTCTACAGTCTAGAGGAAATTACATCACAACTTGTCTTTTTTATGTGAAAACAGTGGTGCACCAATATAAACTTCATAGTGTTAATGGGTCAAAAAAGGAAAAAAAAATGATGCAAAAATCATATGGTGATAAACGGCCAGTAGAAAAAAATATATACTCAGCATTGCACAGGTAGTCAGGAAAGCTGAGCAATAGTGTTAGCATGTGGTTTTAAACACTCACACACCCCAACCACTTTAAAGTGTTGTAAAAACAGATGCCCAAACTGAGGCAACTTAACTTCTACATTAAGATGGCCTTTGGGGTTCTTCAAGTGATTTAGTGTTAAATAACATAAAGATTGTCTGCACCATCTGAATTAGTAACTAAACACTAAAACAGAAAATATGAAACTGAAGGAGGGAATGAAACTCTTTTGCGGGTTCTTGTTTACCTGGCAAGAGTTTAAAAAAAAAAAAATTCAGCACACTTTTCTGGTTCTACAGACAGTAGAACTTATAAACTCAAAAGTAACATATGTAAACGTTGAAATTTAAATGGTGCTTGCTCGTATGAACAAATTCACTGCCATGATGCTGGTGTTCAGGGTTCTGAGGGTTTTGTTAATATCACTAACCCCAAGTACGAGCAATAGTATTGGTAAAAGTGGTATTAGATAAATGGGTAACACTTTAAAATAATGGTCAGTAGTTAACAAGTAGCTATGCAGGAAGTAATAGGTAGTACTGCATTAACACCGAAGTTAATACTATTAACTAATTTGGAAGCAATATTAACTAATCATTAAGTAATAGGTAATTTAGTACAAAGGTAGTTCCTTGGTAGGTATTTGATTGTTACTAAAGAAATATATCCTCATTGAGAACTACTTGTGAACTAAGAAATAATAACCAATTAATTACTAATCACAAAAGTAACATGTCTAAAAAGTGAACAATTGTGGGGGTTTTACGTGGTCATAACATTTCAGAAGCACGTGCCTCAAATGGGTTCTTTGTGGAAACCAGTTTATGAAGTTTATATATCCTCCCAAATACATTAGCTAGGTTGAGATTGTGACCACTACTCTTGCCAGGATGGACGCATGTTCTCTGTTTATTTAAAACTTAAACATAAAATAATCCTAATAAAGACAGTTTTTAAAAATAAATCTTAAATAATTAGGAAGTGATGCTGACACTCTCATTAGTTCACTATTATGAGCTCTATTGAATGTCAGTCACATATATCTCAGACTCCAAAGACCTATAACTTTATGTTACAGTAGCTGCCTGAGGAGGACTTCTCTTTAGCACATGAATATAAACATTGATGTGCACTTGTCAAAAACAATTTGTATCTTTAATGAAGAAATTGGCTGCATTTATGTTACGATAAGCGCAAAAAACCACATCTACCAGATTACAGTGTTTGTTAGAATATTAGTGCCTATAGAACCTGTACAGTATGTGTCAAATATAAAATTAAATGTTAACTCCTCAATAACTACTTAAGCGTTACCTTGTCATCCCCCAGGAACTACTAGTGATGTGGCCTCAGCATCACTTCCTAATTATTTAAGGTTTATTTTTAAAAACTGTCTTTATTAGGATTATTTTATGTTTAAGTTTTAAATAAACAGAGAACATGCGTCCATCCTGGCAAGAGTAGTGGTCACAATCTCAACCTAGCTAATGTATTTTGGGGGATGTATAAACTTCATAAACTGGTTTCCACAAAGAACCCATTTGAGGCACATGCTTCTGAAATGTTATGACCATGTTAAGAGTAAAACCCCCACAACTGTTCACTTTTTAGACATGTTACTTTTGTGATTAGTAATTAATTGGTTATTATTTCTTAGTTCACAAGTAGTTCTCAATGAGAATATATATTTCTTTAGTAACAATCAAATACCTACCAAGGAACTACCTTTGTACTAAATTACCTATTACTTAATGATTAGTTAATATTGCTTCCATATTAGTTAATAGTATTAACTTCGGTGTTAATGCAGTACTACCTATTACTTCCTGCATAGCTACTTGTTAACTACTGACCATTATTTTAAAGTGTTACTGATAAATGTTTTAACTGACTCAAGAACTTGAACATTTCTGTGGCTCTTACATCTTAGTGCAACTAGCTTTTGCACGGGAAACATTCAAGTTTCTTTTGTACTGTGATATCTTGCAATTTTTTCCCCTTCTTTTCTTCCTTCCTTGTGATGCAGTTTGTCTTTTTTTGTTTAAAAACAAAAACAAACCCTCAAAAAAAGTTGAGTCAAGAATTTTTTTAAACTAAAATGTATCTTGAACACTTGATATTGTAATAGATTTCTGAATTTGACATTAAAATGTAACAGATTAAATGTCAAAATAAAATGTAAATCGGTTTTGTCACGGTTAGAGAGAAGCAGACAGGTGAGTAGTAATAAAACAGTGTTTATCGAACAGAGGCACGGATGTGAACTGGCAACCCGGTCTCATCCCAAGACGTCATATAACTGACGTTTTGGGACGTCTTTTGACCATACGTCAATATTCGCCTTTTTAGGGCCCCCTTAAACGTCGGTAGATGGGATCCTAACTCTACCCCATACCTAAACCTAACCCTAAACCTAACCCGTCACCTAACTGAGGTTAAAGGTAAAGCGTCAGTTGTATGACGGCCCGGTATCGCCATCTACCGACGTTTAAGGGGGCCCCTAAAAAGGCGGATATTGACGTATGGTCAAAATACGTCCCAAAACGTCAGTTATATGACTTTTTGGGATGAGACTGTGTTAGAACTGGAGTAATGATGGTCGAGTAGATATATGAAGAATCAGAACTGGATGAGGAACTTAGCTTGATGGTTAAAGAAAGATCATTACAATCCACAGATAGGCTCGTAGTGAGTAGCGGTCTATAGCTTGAATTGCAAAACTAGAAACAGAGAAACAACATTGGTCAAAAGTATTGTCTGCTGGAGGGCTTGTGGAACTGCAAGGCATAGTTCATACCCAAGAACAAGCTCAACCAACAGACAGATTTATACAACTTGACAGAGAGAGTAAAAAAAGAAAAAACAAATGGTCCCACTTTATATTAAGTGGCTTTAAGCACTACTTATATTGGAAAAATAAATACAATGTACTTAATGTGTTCATGTTTTATTGTAAAAGACTTTTTCTGCTAGTGAGATGTGATACTGATAAGGTTAGGGACAGGTGTGGTGGTATGGTTAGGTATAAGGGTGGGTTAAGGTGTAAAGGAAGGCTCAACTGTGTAATTGCAAATGTAATTACATAAATTAATTACAGCTGTAATTACATGCTGGTATTTTTTAAATATAAGTACAATGTAAAAAACATGTAAGCCAATAAATCCATTGTAGCCTATACTAAATAAGTTATTCATTTTGTACTTAAGTACGTAGTACTTAACCTGGTAATACCAGACTCTGCTACTTCACTTTGCTTCGTAGACAGAGTCTGGAATGGCACAATAGAGAAGTGTTTTCTCTCTCGCAAGGGGGCGCTTCTCTGAAGTTTAAAATCATTGGTTACCCGTAAGCCAATCAGATGAGTTTATTTATGACGTATGTTATGCGCTGACACGGCCACATCGAGACATTATGCATCGAACTCAAATCTATGATCGAATTTCCACTTCCACTTCCACTTATTCCAAAAATGTAACTTTTCTAAGGACAAATGCTAGCCTTGCTCTATTCTGTGAGGCGCGTTTGTAACGTCACCTAATACGTAATTACGTTCAAAAGGTCACGGGCGACGTAGCCGTACAGTCAGTGTTTACAAGTTGAACGCATAGGTTGAACGTGCAAACTAACTCAAACGCTGTTTACAAAAAAAGGATTTAAAAGGAAAAACAACGATGTCGGCCGATTTTGATTCTGTACTTCCGGCTACGTCGCCCGTGACCTTTTGAACGTAATTACGTATTACGTGACGTTACAAACGCGCCTCACAGAATAGAGTGAGGCTAGCATTTGTCCTTAGAAAAGTTACATTTTTGGAATAAGTTTTGAAATAACCGATCGTTTCGCATGATAAGACCCTTATTCATCGTCTGGTGTCGTTTCAAGACATTTGAAGCTGTATCTGAAACTGTTATTAACTGTCTTTTCGAACTTTGACTGTCTGGTTCCCATGTAAGAAAAATCCTGGAATGTTTTCATCAAAAACCTTAATTTCTTTTCGACTGAGGAAAGAAAGACATGGACATCTTGGATGACATGGGGGTGAGTAAATTATCAGCAAAAGTTTTTTCAAAAGTGAACTAATCCTTTAAGAAATCATAATGCAGTAAAAAATGATTTACAGGGAACATAAATAATCACTTTACCTTCCGAGTCTTACGTTCATTTGTCACGTGACATACACAATGAACAGATCGTTCATGAATCACATATCTGGGACTAATGCAGCAGGATGTCGAAACGAAATATGGTGGATTATTATTATGATAATAATAATATGATAATAAGAGCGCACCAGGAGCGTTCACTGCCGAGGAGAACGACTTTCTGGTCATGGCCGTAAAAGACGGAGAACTGACGTTGAATGGGGGTAAGTTATGTCCTTATAGTTATGCATATAGTTATGGCCAAACAGGTCTGATCCGTCATTACTACAATTAGCCTGAAAAAATTGGGTAGCCTAATGCCTAAGCTTGAAGTGTTAATATTTTTCCTTGTTATAATGATTTGCAAAAATAAAAACGGCTCCATCTGTGTTGATGAGAGAATAAAAAGTGTTGTGCAAGCTACGTAATGGCCAAGCATGCTGGTTTTTGCTGGTATGCGTTGCAAATAGAGGGGCAGCAAAATTGTTTTTTTGCCTAGAGCGGCAGAAGTGCACGCGCCGGTCCTAGCTGTAAACACTGATGATGCGAGCGAAATACCGGAGTGAACATGGCTGTAAACGACTTTTGCTTCAGTTTGAAAAACCCCGGAATGTTCTTCATAAGAGAGCGAATTGCATCCCGTTTCTTGTTTCCCATTTCTGCGGTTGTTTCGGTTTTCGATTTCTCTAACCTACAATGTAAAACT